TGGTTATCCATTGTAATTGTTTATTCGGATTTTCGCTATTTGGTCTGTGGGTGTGAATCCCGGGATTAGTCAATGGTACCGCGTCGGCGACGCGGGCGCCTTGCGGGCAGAGCCCTTAGCCACCCTTTATGTCTTGCCGGCAGCAATCCTTTTGGCACTCTTACCTCCCCATAGCTGCGACGTGGCCTGCCTCACCGCCACGCTGCTGCGACCCTCCGCCTCGCGCCCGCCCCTGGCTTCTCCTCCTTGGCTCCAGCAGCAGCCAGGCAAAGGCCCGCTCGAAGCTGCTCACGCGGTGGACCAAGATGCGGCCTGCGAAGAGCGCGCGGCCCTGCGGGCTCGAGGCGGGCGGGTCCTCGAAGAGCGCGTGGCGCGCGGTCTCCTCGCAGACGACGCCGGCGACGCAGCCCTCGCTCTGCCTCCCGCGCAGGTTCGGCCCCAAGTTGGTTGGCGCTAGCCCGGCCCGCTGCGCGAGGACGCCCAGAAAGGCGTCCTCGACGGGGAAGGGGTCGGCGACCCAGCGCGCGCGCTCGGCGAGGAGGGAGGCGGCGGCGTCGCGGCCGAGCAGGTACCCGCCGCCGGAGCAGTGCGGCGGAAACCGGTCCGCCCCGAACGAGGCGACCGGCACCGCCCACTTGAGAAAGTCGCGGGGGTACCAAGAGGGGTGCCACAGGTCGGCGGCGGTGAAGTTCGAGCGGACGACCTGCGAGTCAACCTGCAGCCGGCCCGCGTAGAGGCGACCCCACCGCCAGGCACTCGCCTCGGACGCCTCTCGCGCGGCGGCGGCGCCGAGCCACGCCCATAGCCGAGAGACGTGCGCGATCGAATCGTCGTCCGTCTTGAGGAGGGCCTCGAAGGAGACCGAGGCGGCCGCCCACCGCAGCGCCTCGAGTGTCTTGTGCACCAGGCCGAGGTACGTGTCCTCCACGCGCCCGAGGTGCAGCCGGTCGCCCACCAGCTCGTCGGGCGGAACGGTGGCGGCGGCGGCGCCGCCGCGCCGGCCGATCACGTAGGCGTACCGCCACGGCACGGGCTCGCCGGCCGCGTCCCGCCAGTCGTGGTTGAGCCATGTGCGGTGCTGCTCCTGTCGCCGTGCGCCGTTGGCCTCGGTGCTGAAGATGAGCACGAGGAGCGGCACGCGGTGGGCACGCGTGTCCTGCGGCCGCGGCGAGCCGTGGTGGAGCGTCCCGTTCCCGAGCAGGTGGTACGGCCGCAGCGCCGCGCGCGGCGATCTGGCGTACGCGGGAGCGGAGGCAAGCAGGAGCAACGTGAGCGGCATATGTGTTGTCCTGTTAGCCCTGGCGAGGCACCCACTCGGGGTTTTAGTCTGGCCGAGTCAACCCGAGAGCCTTGGCGAGCAGCGTTCGTCCCACAGCGGGCTCGACCAGCGGCGTTCGAGTTTCTTTTTCTGTGTTTCTAAGTGAAAATCTTACTTTACCCTGAGGACTGGGATTTTTCATGCAAATAGAAAGCAAACTTAATAAAAGAGAAATCGCGGGCTCCCGCCAAATCGCTGGCCAACATCCCTCGCCCAGCTCGCAACGTGCGTGTGTGTGTATATGTTGCCTTCTCGTGAGGTCGTCGCCGCGCGCTTCGCCGCGGCGGTGAGGCAGGCCAAGTCCGAGCGGATCCCTCCACCGCCCGGCGCAGCCTGTCGCGGCAGGCTTGCCTGCGACGTGGACCGCTCGGAGGAGGCTGAGCTGAGGAGGCTCGAGAGCGGTGCCCCTGTTACGGCATCGGTGCATGTGAACCTGATCGATGACGACGAGGCGCCACCGCAGGAGAGCGGCCGCACGCCGCTCGACGAGCTCGACGCGATCGACGACTCCGCGCTGATGGAGGCCGTGGAGGCTGCTGCAGCGGAGCGCAGCGGCGGCGAGGCGCCCGGGCTCGCTCCCTGGTACTCGAAGCGAGCTGCGCCTGCCGGCAGCAGCGACGACGGCGACGACGGCGCCGAGCCGATCGAGTTTGACTTTGAGGAGGAGGGAGGGGGGGAGGGCGGGGAGGAGGGAGGGGAGGAGGGAGGGGAAGAGGCAGCCGGAGAAGAGGAGGAGCCGTCCAGTGGTGCGGCGGAGCTGAGGGCGGCAAAGGCACGTCAGCCGGCGGTGGCGTCCGGCGG